TACATTTAAGAAGTAAATACAAAGTAAGAGAATTCTTTTCTAACTCACTATTCCAGTTCAGGGTCTTGGGCTCCAGAACCCACCCAGCAGCTTAGGGCTCAAGCATGGGATGCTGTCACCTCCAGTGGGCCCTTTCTGGAGTCACTTTGCTGTTCCTCCACCCTGCTTTCCCCTCCAACCTGAGTTTTAACTATCACAGTAGTAAGTCACGTTGACATGCTTGCTGTGTGCTAGCCCTAAGCTTAACCCTTCATGGGGGTTTTCTCATTTGATCTTCACAGCAGCATTGTTCACAGCCTGCTTGTTACCCCAATTCACAAATGAGGAAACTGATACTTATGTGGGGGTTGGGGGTACCCATGATTCTTTCCTATAATACTGCCTGTAACCTTTCTCCCTCCAACTTTCATTCCTTTGCCCCTTTCTTCTCTTAGCCACTCTCATCTACATAACAGTACTGTTCCAGCAACCTGTGGGATTTCTTACTGCAGAAACTCTGAATCGAGAAGCTCAAGTGCTTAGTGATTGTACTGCCTCTCCCTATATACTGAGAAATCTTCCAAAGCCCATTCGACATATTTACTCATGTAATACAATGACCCTGAGAGAAATACTATTACCTCCTCAGCAGGAGATAGACACCAAGAGGTAAAGGAACTTCCCCAGAACACAGAGTAAGAGTCAGAATGAGGATGTGAACCCAAAATGTCCAGCTCTGGGACCTGCATTCCTATTCAGGCTTCATCTTACATGACTTAGCAGGATTAGCACAATTGATCCCTCAGCTGTTCTCAAAATCCTTTCCTCAGTTGGTTTCCAATCCATCTTACCTGGTTCTTGTCCTACTTTTCTGACTGCCCCATCCCATTCTCCTTTGCTAGTTTCTCCTTGTCTCCCTGACTTCCGAAAGTCAGAGTGCCCTAGAGATCAATCTTTGGACATGTTTTCTATACTCAGTCCCTAGATGACCTCATCCAATTTTACAGCTTAAATAGCTCTATGTAAATAGCTTACCAATCAATATGTCCTGTCTGGAACTCTCTGGTAAAACTCAGACTCATATATCTAACTGTCCACTCAACCTCTCTCCTATTGACTATCTATGGCGTCTCAAAACCAACATGCCAACGGCTGAGCTCCTGCTCTTCTTCCACAAACTTGCTACTCCCTAACTCAGTTAATGACAAGTCTGTTCTTCCAGTAGCTCAGGCCAGAGCCCTGGATGTCATTCTTTTTTTTTTTATTTTAATCATTGTTCAAATACAGTTTTCTCCTTTTTACTTCCAATCCAGTCCCCCCTCCCATGGATGTCATTCTTAACTCATCATTTTTTCTCTTACAACATACTCAATTCACCTGTAAAATATAGCCAAGATTGGACAACTTTTCATCACCCCCTCACTATCACCACTCTAGTCCGAGTGGCTATTACCTCTTGCCTAGATGTTGCAGTGGCTTTTCATTGGTCTCCCCTCGACTTCTCGTAACTCCCCTCAACTCCCCTCAACTCCCCTGCCAACTTGAGTGAAGGGAATGAGGCACCACCTTAAATGCAAAATTTAAGAAACATCAAAACTCTGTAATCATGAAAAATGGTATTTTAATGTAATATTTTTTAAAACCTCATCATTTAAGATATCAAGATTTTAAATAAAAACTAGACCAGGCCCTGTCTTTGCATTACTCACCTCCTTTCTTCAAATACTCCCAGTCCCAATCCCACTTGACTTGCTTCAAGTGTGCTCAACAGTTACAGTAATTGTTAAAATTTAAGTAAAATCTTGTTAATCCTCTGGTTTCACATCTCAGAGCAAAAGCCAAAGCCCTTTTCACAAACTACAAGATCCTACGTGACCTGGTCGACCATTATCTCCCTCACCCCAACTCCCATTTCTCTCCTCATTCACTCAGCTCAACCTCTCCACACGGGCCACCTCACTATTCCATCAACAAGCTTGCACCTTAGGGCCCCTACACTGGTCATGCCTTCTTCCTAGAATCCTCTCCCTCAAACACACCCCTCGCTTCATCCAGTTCTCCACACAAATTCACTGTGTAGACCACACTACCTAAAATTTCATCCCCCCACACAATTTATTTCACTTCATATTCCTCTTCCATTCTTAATTTTTTTCTCCCCAGAAATTATCATAAGCACTCTGTATATATTACTAATGTGTTTTATTGTTTTACCCACTATATAACTCCATAAAATAATTCAAAGCTGAGATTTTGGGAAGAGAAGGGGTTGTTTTGTTCTCTTTATATCTCCATGTTTCAAAAAATTTGTGAATGATAGTAAGCACTCAGTAGATATTATAGTGCTTGAATGAAGATTGATAAGTGCACATGAGTGCTTTCCTTTAGCTCCAATAGTCTTGATGCCAGCTATGGATAGACTTTGAATTCTATTACCTCAATAAATTACATCAGGGACTATGCTTTCAAAATGCAGTTGCCTAAGATCTGAAGAATTCACAGGATGCTAACTTAGATAATGTATTGCAAAACCTTTATTTCAAATTGACCAATTTTTGAAACAAAAGTTTGACTTGCTTAAAAAATATTTATCTGGGATTCAAGTTCATGCCTTAGATTATCAAAGTGGGGAGATCAAGTTGCTTTTGAGAAATAAACATTGAATAACAAGTTTCTCTTATGGCAAATCCTGAATTTTATTTCCATGTTCTGATTTCTAATGATATTATATTAAGATGTTATACAGATTTTCTTAATTTCACAGTGAAGCTGTGTATAATCAAAAGATCTTTCTGTTGTAAAATATCTTTGATTCTCTTTACTAATTATTAACCAAAACTAAAGATAGGTTTTGTAAATAAAACTTGTTTCACCATGAACTGTTATCTTTTGATAGAAAAGATGAAGTTCAGCAAAGAGCAAATCTTCAGGTTGGCCAAAAGACCACAGACTTTGCCTGCAAACACCTGTAGGACACTTGTGGCTAACATCACAGACTCCACGTCCAGTCATGGCCTCCTGGCTCATGCAGGTTAAATTCGGCGCTGTGGCAGAGTTTGAGAGTGTCCTGATGAAAAGACAATTAATTTAGTAACATCTGTGAACAGGGCAAAAGTTAGATTTTGTCTTAAAGTCTAATTTTCTTTGTAAATCTTCAAAATGCCTTTTGTAGTTTTATGTTTTTAAAATGATTTATATATACTTTTATAGATGTTTCTATGACTGTATTCACCAGCAGGTTAGGATTATAAAGTGAAAACAGGCCTTGTTTCCATCTCCCCACCTTGTAGTGTTGAGAGAAAGAGCATTTACACTATAAATGTGTCAATAAGGTACAAGTTCCACCCTGGATTTTGACACATATATCAGATCACCACTATCATAAAGACGCTTTTTAATTTCTTAGCCAAAACATGAAGTTAGGATTTTTGTTTTCTTTTTAAATCACTGCCTTTGGAAAAGTACAGACACAGAAACTGGTATGTTAACTGGGTTAGCTTATGCCCATAAAACACACTGCCCTAAAGCTGGGCGGGGGATGGAGCTGACATACCGACAGCACTAACTAACTACTCCCAGAGAGAAAGAATGAGTGACAACTGAATTGATCTGGGTCAGAAGTGAGCAAGAATTATTAGAAAGGTCAAGGGCAAGAATGGGCATGCTTAATATGAAGAGCATAAAACTGTTCTGTCCCTATAACAGCTAACTGGTATTATCTTTCTGGAATCTCATTATTTTAGTTTTTAAAATTATATTGAAAATATTACTTTGTAAATGATGTTTGCCTATTAGTTTGGGAACTTTTTAATTCTATTATTTTAATAATACTTTGAAGCTATGTTTTACTGAAATAACCACCTCACCGTCTTCATTTTATTTGGTCACCCAAATTTTGGCCCAGTGTCCTATATTATTAATTCATTCTGAATCTTTAAATGACAATGAAAATCAGTACAGGAAATCTCAATACACAGGACAGAAAAGTTTTTAAAGGGCCTATCATCAAATGCGTTAGATTTGCATTTGATTCATAAAACACGTTTCCTCAGTCTTGGCTGGCAGAGCTCATGAAGCACAGTGAAAACCAGCACAGAACCTTCGTTGCACCATCACACTCAAACCCAGGAGTACACTCCCACCATGCACACAGGAGACTGCAGAGCCACACTCCACCATAGCCTCGCTCCACCATAGCCTAGGACATTCAGCATGGCCATTGCCTTTCCCTGGGAACCTGTGCATTTGAACAATCATCACATTTGGAATGGGTTTCAAATCATGTTCCCAAATAGAATGCATAAACAATAAAATGCGGAAATTGCATATTCATATCAACATATGTAAACATAGACATATATAAACTTTCATAATTTCTTAGATTTTTACAAAGGGCCTCATGTCCTCTATTGAGTCCTCTGTGTGGTATGTGAGCCAGATGTTAGTAAGCCCTTCCAACACCACTCACAAGGATCCACTGTTCTTGTTTTGTTAAAACCCAGGTGACATTTTTATTACATCAGGTAGTTTGTGTGATGACCCCTGTATATCTGCCACCAGCACACTGTTTTAGAAATTTATCTTTGGTTAACACAGAACAGGTAACTGAAGCTAAAACTCTCAGGATTTTGGTAGCTTGTACTAGTTGATTTAGTAACAGTGCCCTCTTCCCACATCTGCAAGGACCACTCTGCATATTCTTCTAATTGACAAGAGCTAATTTGTGTTTAAGCATTTGGTAACATTCTGAGATCACTGGATTGAGAATTATTGACCTGCATTCTAACTGAAAATGAAATATTACTCATTTTTGACTTCTAAATTTCAACTGAAATCAAACATTTTTAAAAAGTCTTCCTTAATAAGGATATTTAACTGGCCTAGTTTGTGTGTGGCTGTTAGTTGCTTTAACCTTGATGACTCCATTTGCAGAGAATGTTCCTAAAGATGTCCCTCATGAAAAGGACAAGTTTGGACTTGGCAACAGCAATTTACTTAATTTATCTTAAATTTGGTTTCAGTGAGCAACCCTAATTAACCTGATTTTTTGCTGATAATCACTCTCAATGGAATCAAATCACAAATCCGGGGATGGATTGAGCGGCAGCCAGAAGGAAGCAGCCCTTCGCGCACTGGTCCAGCGCACAGGATATAGCTTGGTCCAGGTAGGCACTTCTTATGACATGTGCTGAGACCCACAGAACTCAGTGCTGAGACACTGAGTTCCCAGTGAGACTATTAGTGGTCTTAAGATGCAAAATGGGAATGGTCAGTCATATAACTCTTCAGGTGGGTGTTCCTTTCCAATGGGGGAGGAAGTTGCATCATTTCAGTTGTGCATGCGCCCCTGCTGGTGACGTTCTTTCTACTCTTGGTTATCAACTCAACTTTAACTTGTCATTTGCAAATGAAATCAGTGTCCACAGTCACAGAGACTATCACAGTTTTTAAAGGCAATGTTAATACATGGAAAGACAGCTGGAATTTATGATCCAAAGATGTTGGTGAAGTAGAACCAAGCCATCGTTTCAAGAATCATCAGAGAACAAACTGTCCAGGCACGAGCTTTGGTTTCCAAAGAGATCATGGCAGATGTAGGAGGACTGCTGAGATCCAAGGATCTCACCATCTAACTATTCCAGTTATTTCTCATAACATCGACTCAATAGTTTAGGATAAGGCAATACTTTTTCTATTATGTTCACCGCTTTTTAAAACAATCCTAAATTGTCTATTCACAGATGTTAGTTGTTAAGAATCATCTGCATTATTATTGTCTTTATAATAACTTCCTTTACAGAGCTTTTCACATATTAAAAAGCAAACTACTATCAGACATACAAATAATCTTATTTGAAAAAAATAACATTGCTCTTATTTCAGTAAGACTAAGTATTATAATTCTCAGCAATTTGATTGTCCTGCCCCCACATAGTTTTCCAACTTAACCAAATCTCTGTGTTGTTGTGAATACCAATGTCATATGGGGATAACAATAAAATAGGCAGCAGTGTCCCTTTATCCCATGGTCCTCCGTCAGATTGTTGCAAAATGTACTACATTTAGTTTTCAACTAACGTCATAAGTCATGGCGTGCCTTTGCAGAGACAATGCTCAGCATTGTTTCTAATTCCTCATCCTAATGAGAAGCTTTTAGTTATACTTCAAGATTTCAGAAAATATTATTTCATTATAGAGTTTTCAAAGTTTCATTTATGTCAAGGGCAAGGGAGGTACTAATAGATTACTAGTTTTTTTAACAGTTAATAAAAGTTAAATTATTCTAGAAGTTTTTATCTCCAAATTTAGTGTACTTCAAAATTAATGAATGAAAATTTTTGTGCAGCCTTCTACCACATAAAGTGGAATTTTATAATTCATAGAAATTTGACCAGGTACAGTTGAATAGTAGGAACTTTTTCCTTTTATATTCAATACTTCCATAGATGTTATAATATTGAGTATTATTTTTAAGTCAGTATATTTAAAAAAGGTCTCTGTATTTGAAACATTCATGCAAAGATGATGGTATTAGAAAGCATTTAAACCCTTTTGAAATGTAATTTGTCGATATTTATAAGAACACTCCCCTTCTGTGAACAAATCTCTGATGTTCCAAAATATAATGATAGAAATACATGTAAACCTGTCTAGTATGGTGTTATTTATAATACTTCAATCTATCAAACCTAAATGTATAGAAGCAAGGAGATTATTAAGTTATGAAAATACATTCAAGAAACATAATTTTATAAGAAATAATCCTAAAACAATATAAATTGTCTGTTTAATTTTATTCTGGGCTTCGGGGCTTCCTTTTCCCCCAGATAAAACTCAGGGGAAGTGTGATGACTTTTCTGATAACCTTCAGGTAATAAAAAAAAGATCTCCACTTTTTTTTAGTCCAGTATAGTAAAAACGACTTCAAAGTTACAGCTTATTTCCCCTTTCCCAACTATGTCAAGGCAGAGTGCGATTTCTTTTCCATTTTCCTCCTTTATACTTTCAGAAGCATAGTTTCTACGCCAGTTCACTAACTGTAATTCCTGACTCAGAGCTAGAGCTAGAGCAGAAAACAGGAGTGAGAGCAAAGGAAAAAAGACAAGGGAGTTCTTACTTGACTGATATTGGCCTTAGGCTCTCTGAGCCTGGCAGGTATGTAATGCTCATGGGATACATTGTAGGACCATCAGAGCCATCCTTAATTCCATGGCTGGGGATCTCTCACCTGGCTACACTCTCCTCTGGCTGGCCACTCTCCTGAGCCTGGGCCTCCTTGTGCAGAGATTTTTAAACTCAAAGCAGCTCTCTTGGAAAAGGTGAAACATAACCCCAGATTCCAACACATGGTCAAACTCTGTTCCTCTGGAAACACTCACGTACTCTCTGACCCCAGCAAACTCTGGAAGCACAGGTGACACAAAGAAACCAGCTCCCCTGCTCACCAAAATCAAAGCAGCAGGCCAATCTGCTGCTCACAGGCAGGATCCCAGCAATGAATTAGACTCCTCAGCCTAGGGTGTTCCCTAATGCAGAGAACACCTATGAAGCTCCCTGAGTGCTTTCCTACAGCCCCTCTCCCCTGCCTTAGGTAAATTGAGAAGCACCTTGCAATTCCTTCCATTAAGGGGTAAGTAGGAGTCACAACACACCAGATGGTGGTCTCCAAATATCTTTGAATAAATTCCTAAAGCTCCTTTCACACTCTTCAATCTCATGTCTAAACTGCAGTGTAGAAGAGGGGTGGGGTGTTCGGTTAAGAATCTAAAACAGTTAAACAATTTTCTCTACCTCTTTGTCCTGCTTGGTGGTCCAGTGACTTGGTTTCCTATTCAAACCAGAGGCCAGAGGAGACCCACTCTATCTTAAAATCCTGTTACAAATGAAATTGTATTCCGTCTTGAAATGATCATTTAAAATATTCTGCAGGACAGAAAATTGTAATGTTATTATCACAGCTATGTAAGAAACTTGTAAATAACAATATTTTTAAAAGAGACTCAAGCAACAAAGGAGATCATTTTACAAACCTAATGTTAGGTTTTAAGGACATTTGCATCATAAAGGAAAAGAGCAAGAGGGCTATGTGACTTTATAACAAAATGTTTTCAAGTAAAATACCCTTAAAAATACATGGCCAAACTGTATATTACTTTGATCTTACACATTCAATTACATTGAGAAAATGTTAATAAGAATTTAGAACACATGTTAATAACAAAATAACAGTGAATGTTTATCAGGCACTTATATTCTAACTGCTTTATGTATAGTAATTCATTTAACCCTTAAAACAACACTATGAGGTAACTGCTATGTCAGAGTTGTCCAACCTGCAGCCCACAGGCTGCATGCAGCCCACGATGGCTATGAGTGTGGCCCAACACAAAATTGTGAATTTACTTAAAACATGAGATTTTTGTGTGATTATGTGTCACATTGTATTTAATGTGTGGCCAAAGACAACTCTTCTGCTTCCAATGTGACCAAGAGATGCCAAGAGGTTGGACACACCTGTTATGGTCATCTTCAGTTTCCGGGTGAGGAAAACGAGGCACAACGATGTTAGGTCACTTGCTGGAGACATAAAGGCTGTAATTCCAGTGTTATTGGCCAAAATGCCTGACAAGATTTACAAAACTGAGAGCTACTACAATGTTATCTTTAAGACTGCAATTTTAGAGGTTAGCCTGTTAGGGCATTCTAACAATATTTTCTTGAGCCTGAACTTTGTAACGTAAGTCACTTACAATAACACTTATTCATTAGCAGAATGACCATTAGATCAGAAACTGTCCAATCATGTACAAAGCTAAAACTCTAAAACCTAGTTACCTAGATCTAAAGCCTCTAATGAAGATGTAAATGTTTACATGGCTCAGTTCAATCATTTTGAATTCATTAGAAACTCCCTACTGATTTTGGCTGCAAAGGCCTGAAAATCACCCAAGACTTCAAATTAGAGATGGTAGAGATTGCTCTCTATCACATGCAAGGTGCATAATTTTGAGCACAGCCTTTAACCACTCTAGGGCTTAACTTTCCACCAGATTGACTAGGGCATCCCCCACTCTATCCCCCATCATTTTGTGATTCTAGTATCTGCACAGTCTGATCATTGGTCAGCAAACTGCACTGATGAGTTGGAAGAAGCATATACTGAAACACAGCCTCCAAGTCTTTATAATTTAGAGAAGATTCTTTAGCCTTCTCAATACTTCAGTCTTCCTATCTGGATTGGAGGAAAGGTTAACATTGTTATTTAAAAAACAGGGTAACATCAGGTTTACAATGAAAATAAATAACTTAATACAATTCAGGATGTACACCTATAAAATGATCATTTCAAATTTTATGATAATTACTAAACTAGGGTTTGAAAGATTTACTTCTGTTGTAACTTTGCAGTTCGATATTGAATGTTGAATACCTGCAAAACAAGAATTAAAAAAACAGGGTGATTAATTTGTGTTCTCTTATCACTCACAGGACAAATACAGCTGTTAAAAATAGAGTTTTGCAGGTTACTTAATAACGTGAGCCAGTAAGTTATATGGCAACCGATGTACCAATACCTGCTTGTTTGCAAATATACTTTGTGATATCATTTTTAAATAATTGGATATTTTTGGATATTGATAGCTAAAAATTTTTTATCAAATTACTTCAGGGAATAAAAAATGCAATTCCCTGCAAATAGCAGACATTTAATAAATATTGATGAAAAATGTGTAATATTGACAAGTTAAACCTGCAAATTCATAACCACCTTATGCCACATAGAAATATTTTGGAAGTAAGTATGCTGCAGTGTTAACTCGTAAAAAGTCTTTGTGTCCAGGCAATGGACTTTGTGTGGTGCTCTCTTTCCTTACTTTTTAACTTTTAACTGTACTTTCCAGATTTTCTAAAACTAGCATATATTTGGGAGTCAAAGTAAAAAATCCCATTGTGATGATTCTTTCCTCAAGAATTCATCAATGACAGGGGTCATAAACTCTGTGCCATGTGATGCTCCTTCCATCTGAAATCTTCTCCTTAAAACTAGGCAAAAAGCAGGGGGTAGGGGCTAGGGAGGTGAGCAAAAGGGAGAACAATGGGGACATAGAGACTCCACGTGGAGTGATGGGCACACGATGCAGTTTGCAGATGATGTTTCATCGAG